AGATAGAAGTCAACATCCGTTCTGCTCAGAAGTTATGAATAACAAGCCTCTAAAAGAGAGGAGGCGGCAAAGTACTGACATGCCTTTTATTTCTTGTGCGTGCAAGAGACCCCCACGAGAGAGCTCGCATCTATACACATGGGGACATAAGGTCTCTATTGTTCCCGAACAGACCATGTTCAGATGTAAATAGCTTCGCTTTGCAAACATTAAAGATAGTAAAAGGTGATACTTAGCACATGACACAAACAGTATGTTCACTGTTTGTGCGAAATTCATTTTGCCAACGTTTTGACAGAACTTCCCACGTATTTCATTAATCCCTACATGTGATTTCATTAATCATTTGAATTTTACATTTATTTAAATAGTGAAACAAATCAAAACTGCACCTTTATTATTTAGTAGAAGAACTTCAGGTATTACTGGTATTACAGGTATTACTGGAATACCATTTACGTATTCAAAAGATGTTAGAAAGTTTTTAAATCAGTATGTATGAAAAATCAGTATGTTTGTATGAAAATCTGTCTGATGAACAAAAGTAATGTTCGAATAATAATAGGTTGCATAAAGACCATACAATTTCCAAAATTAATTGGTACTTACAATTTGATTTGAAAACAAATGCTAATATTCATGTATGCTGACAACAAGTCGGTGATGACCTCGATGCTAAAAAACGACTTAAAATAAAACAAATAAAATACTGTAAGAAAAGAAGAGCATAAATATAAAAACTATTTGTTAATCACGTTCATCTCTCTTAAATTTTCCTTCCTCATTGATTTTGCGGAATTTGCGTAGTTACTAGGAATGCTTTTAACCTGAGATTGCCACTAGTAAGGACATTATTATTATTATTATTATTATTATTATTATTATTATCATTTATAAAAGATAATAGTTAAATTATGCAAAACTCACTAAAATATGCTAATTTTTGTATCCATTGCTGTATACAAAAATCTAATAAGATTGTGTTCATATATTACTTATCACGTAATTTTGCTCAACTGGTGAATTTCCGTTGCAGTCTCTATGATCATGATTAAGTTAATGATGCCATTGCGAGTGAAGCAATGAACTTTTTTATTGATATTTTACAGGCATGCCGAATTACTTTTCATAATATAATGTTATGAGTAGATAAGTAGATAATCATACACAATATCCATCTCCTCTCATTTGAGAATTTTCGGGAGAATCAAATTTAGGAAAGAAATGTCACAATTGCGCACGGAAAACATTAAATTCTTATGTCATCACAGAGAATTCACTCGCTGTAAGTAGTACTGTGCAACTTCACTTTACACAGCTCGAAGTGTGCTACGACATTTGCCAACATAAACGAACTTATGTGAAGGATTATTGAAAATACTGACTGCTAAACCGAGGAATAAAAGAAGATAGTCATGAAACTCCCTCTCTTAGACCGCGGGGCCTGTTTGAATTATGCAGAGTATGACTTCATCGTCCGAATATGGAACCTTAACACATCATTTACCGTGCTCCACTATAATGCCATGAATGCATCTTCAGGCTGTGACTAATTACGTAATTTGTTTTCTTTCCTGAAAGCTGGCCAAGAAATGTCAAACACTCGCGAGTTCTATAACATACAACCATAGGCATGAGCAGCCCAAAACAAGAGGAGCTACCACATTTCTGGCCCCCTTTTAAAGAAATGTCATTTATGGACCTTGCAAGAGGTGTAACACTTATACGCAAGTTATCTACTGAACTTTTTTGTTTTCATGTGACTTATTTTACCAAAAAATTATAGAAGTAAAATGAATAATTTACATAGATCATAACTACGTAAAATAAAACACTACAGTGAGATTGAAATCATAACTTTAACAATACAAGTAATAAATACATGTGATTATATAAAGCCATTTCCAATGCCAGATGATTTGGAGAGCCTATTCCCCAAATATCGTATGATAATTTTATGAATTATAAGGTTAGGAAAGGGAAAATGAGGGATTGAGCTGTTTAAGGAAATGAAATGTTTTATTTCGTAAAGCTGCACGGTCCCCCTTTCAACATTTTCAGGAGACTATGGACTGCTGTCTCTTCCCTTTGCGTACGCCTATGATAACAAGGCATGTAATTCCATAAAACAAAGCAAATGGAAGTAATTTTCATCGTTTAACTACAACACAACCTACTTTAGGCAGAAACGAACTTCATAAAACATGGAAATAACGTACGTGATCTAATGGACTTCTCTTATATGAAGCAAAATCTATTCCAGTCCCGTTTCTTTCCCAATTGTATTTTTCAATGGACAAAATACTCTGTGAATTGACTCTTATCAGTACTATTTATCAATAGTCAAAGGGACGACGTTTGAATAAGGAATTGTACAATAAATCAAAAAACATGTTAAACCCGTGATCAAAAACTGATGATTAACTCCATTCACGTCTTTCAAGAATATCACTTATTTCAAACTTACTAGAAATCTTGGAACATTACTACACACACAATCATCGTGGGAAAAAGATTACAAAAGAATATAAAAAAGAACTCAAAATATGTTGCTAACTGGTGTCAAAGAAAAACTTTATTTTTTGGATTTAAGTGTAAAGTTTCAAATATTACACTTATTTGCAAGAAGTCTTCGTAATAAATTAGAGATATATAAAAAACGTAACAGAATTTGATTTATTAAGGATGTTCATGATTTTTTATATTTTTGGAGACGCTTTCTACCCAACGACGATAACTATGCATTTTCATTACGAACGAAGAAATCCATCGTATAATAAATTAAAATGATCAAGAAAAACTAATATCATCCCGTCTGTAAGAATGAAGAAGCGTAGAATAAGTTCTAGAAAAAAGGAAAACCCTGAAAAAGGTAAAATCGTGTTAAAATCTGTAATATTTATATGGCATTAGAAAGGACGTTCCGAAAAATTAACATTTCTGTTAAGAATTCCGAAAAACATTTTTATTCAGAATTCGGCTATCGGGATGCATCATATGTAGCTGCGAGAACACCGCTGAAGCTTCATTCACAGCGTGGTCCTAGGTTCCGCCTTTTCGACGCATGCTAAGAAACTGGGCTGGAGCTCACCTCTGTTTGGATGAGCATTGTAGACAGACTCAGCTGGCTCAATTGATGCCACTGCAGCGCCTCTAACCGTAAGGTCCTTGGATTAGATTTCCGACGGTGGCAAGATTTTAGACACAAGCTAGGTCGAGCTCCTGCCGCTGGGGGAAAATTCTTGCGACCGGGTGCTCTGATCGGTAGTGTACTTTTGTTTCTCCAATCGAACCAAGGCGACTGCCGGAGCAGTACCTGAACAAATGGGTCACGGACAGCGTAAGATTTTTCCTTCCTCTTCCTTGCCTTATCTACACCCTTACTTACTTCCACACACACACTTACAGTGACTACACTACCACATATCTCGGGAGACCAGTCGGGACTTCGAGCTTGTCCGGGCTGGGGTGGTACCTCTTTGGGGAAAACCCTGGAAAGTATATCTAAAAGGAAAAATTAGTGGCGTCTGATTAAAAAGGAAAATCAAAGTGATGCTTTCTTCAAAAGAAGGAGAAGAAGATAGATCAATGAATGGATAAAAGGCGTTGGTCGACACACGACTGTTAGAACTTATTGAAGCCCTCACCTAACAGACTTCAAAAGATCTCGGAAAACTTTGTTTTGTATTTTTCAGGCATCAAACATCATAAGTTAACAGTGTGGTTTAGACAATATTTTTATAAATTAATTAGAGGTGTATGAGATGAACCTACTCCTAATACACAATGTGTAATGTATGTATGGTAATGTGCGAATGGCTCTGAGAATTATTGTAAATGGTGATGATTTTATTACTCGAACCCGACGATAGCTCAGGATCTATCCACAATCGGGTATCAACTATACAAGGAAAACTGCATGACAACGCCTTCCAAAGGGTGAGTAAATATTGATTCCGGGCGCGGCCACAACTTAGGTCATCAGTCTCGTATTTGTAGTGCATGATATACCCAGGGAAGTTACGATGTGCCTTCACCGTTAAAACGTAAAGTCCGGCGCCGAGCCACACATCGCTAGCGGGTCTTCCTCCTCTAGCTGCCTTCCCTAGAGGGATATGCCACAGCCTGAACTAGTTCTAAGCTCCCGGCTCTCTTCATGGTGGCCAGATTGGGCGGAATTTCGCATTTTGGGCTGGAAAACGGCTCCCTCGCATGGGACAAAAAATGATTTTGTGGAATACCGCCCATCGGGCGGAAATGCATCAAAATATGTGCGGTTTTGGGATGTTTTTCAGATTACGACGAAATTTTCAAAAAACAACCACAACAGTGACAGTGAGTTTGCCTTTTTAAAAGTTTTTTTTACGTTATAGATTATATTTCATTACTCGTTTGTTAATTAGTTCAAATTTACTTTGAGAAATGAGTAATGTTAGTTTTTTTGTTAATTACAATGTTCCTAAACAACCAAAAAATAAAACTAATGAAGCATTTCATAGCATCAATATCCCAAAAACTCTTCTAATACTAATTATCTTAATGCAAGTTCAAATTCACCGCGTGGAATGTTGAACTTTTCGTATTGGATGGATTTACATCCATCTAACGACGGATGTTTGTATGCAGTATCTGACAAACCTGGCTCTCTTCCGACATATTTGGTAATGTTGTGAATGTTTGTGTGCGCATGTAAGGGAAGAAACAACATCGGAGAAGCTGGCCGGTATATTTCTCCAAACAGTGGCTCAAGTGAAGCTATGTAGATAGAGTCGGTCCCCTGCCTCTAGGACTCTCCGGTGAAGTTGCAGTCAGTGGGCTGTCGCCCGTGGGCCATCGCACCTTTGGAGCTCGAGGCGAGGAGCGTAATGGGTTTGGAAGAGGCGGCGGCGCCGTGTCGCGTCGCGTTCGGTGCTCTCCGCGGAGCGGCAGGCGCTGCAGGGGCCGCATTGTGCGCGAATGTCAGTGCGACCTTTCGCTACGGCGGTGGGGGCTGGCGGCGGAGCTGAGGAGGAGGAGGTGGGAGGGGCCTCTTCGCCACCGCCTCCGCCGCCGTCGCAGCCGGTGCCACTCCAGAAGCAGCAGCAGCAGCAGAAGTTGGCCATGGACCGGAGGGTGCGGACGCAGCCACGGTCGCGGAGTGCGAGCCTGATGCCGTCGCCGCCGCCGTCGTGGGCGCTGCTGGTGGCGACGGGGCTGGCGGTGGCGGCGTCTGTGGCGCCCGCCGCGTGGGCGGCGCAGGGCTCCACCCCCGCCGCCCACAAGATCCCGCGCTGGAACATGAAGATCGCGCAGGAGCAAGGGTGAGGTCAATGCACAGGATTGCGAGTTACTGTCCAAGGGACCTTTTTCAATGAGTCCTTTGCAAACCTTTGCAATTCACCATTGTGGGGGAAGAAATACGTGGAAAATATCAATCAAGTTGCATTCGCATAATCAATAATTGTTAATTACATTATATCATTTTTCAAATTATATAAATGATCAGTAATTAAGACCTAAATGTAAGTTGTTATCAATATTTAATTCATCGAGAGAAGCCGCTCACGATACACTTTATTTTGGCTGTAATAAATTGGAATTGTGACAAAATTATTTATCGAAAAAATATAGCAATTTTAAGAAAATTATATATTTTTAAAAAACAATATATTTAAACAATATTTTACAAACAATATATTTTTAATTTCTTGATATAAAAAAGGTGGGTGAATGAATATTATAATATTTAAAATTACAATTTTCATTGATGAACTCCTACGCAACACGTTCTACTACTGACTTCTTGAAAAGTGTGAATGCAAAGAAATGATATTTTTGATTTATTAGCGGAGGGAAAACGTTTTGCAGGGGAAATCCTAATGTTCGTCACATATTTTCTTCAAAGTTGATTTTCTTCATACATTTACTATACTTTTTTTTTTAATTTTGTAGAAAGTAACATTCAGCAAAGAACGTAGAAACAAAACACATTAATTGCAATAATTCCTTATTGATTCTATTTGTTTGAACTTATAAGAAACAAAAGATTTCACATGTCAAGAAAGAGAATATTTCACGTTTATTTCACGTTTCACAATGTTTCATATTTCACGTTCTACGGAAAGAAAATATGCAAAATTATTTAGAGAATAAATCGACTGATCAAATGAATTCCTAAAACTATTTTCTTTGAATATCAACTAAATTACGTTATTGTTGAATGCAAAGCTAAGGAGAATCTCTCCTCGAATAAAGTCAAAAATTGTATATCTCGTTCTGTTTTGTCGCAGTCTCAACATTAGGAGTGGCATTTGCGGTCTTCAATAAATAGATTTTTTCTGAAAAAATGTTAGAAATCCCGAATATATTTGCCTCAGTTATCAATAAGACTAACTTCTGATTTGATCTAAACCTTGGTACTAAATGAGAGGAATATATTTTCTGATGAGCCCGGTAGATCAGGCATTTATTTTACCCAAAATTGGTACTCGTAGGTAAAAATGCATTTACTGTTACTAAAAATAGGCACTCAAAAAGGGCATTTATTCTAGCTAAAATAAAGGGAACATTGAAAAATCATTATTTAAAAGTAATTATTATATAAACATTAATAGTTAAAATGATATCATTGAATCGGAATTATAAATTTCGTTCTTCCGCTTCTGCGTATTCACCAGAAGAGAAAAGAGAACACGAAGGAACTGAGAAGGGTATGACATTAAGTGATCTCTGTCCTCAAAAGGGGAGGCCATATTCAAATATACGTTTCTTGTGAGCGTACAAGTCTGTTAGCATCAAAAAATATAAAAATATTTCACTGGTATAATCTTCCTTTCCATTATAGAATTTTAACATAACCTGACACTGGAGCCTTCGCGTCCCCAGAAAGACAATACACGACCGTGCCTTCATGTTATCCAGACTTGTAGGTGTGATTCCAGGTTGATAGAGGTTGGTGCCAGGAGGGGGGAAAGAGAAAACAATGACGAAAAGGCAGAAAATGCACAAATAAGGGAGGAAACGGCACAAAAATCGAAAAATACAGAAAATAGATAGCATAAGCTAAAAGATCAATCAAATAACTCCAAAAGTACAATTAAGTGATTCCTATTGTCAAAAGGAATAAAATCGTAAAAATAATACAAAAGGCATTATGAAAAACTTCCAGACTCTAGTGATGACAATTGTATGTCCTCCTGAAGACAACTCAGCGTCATGATCACACCCATGAATGAAGTAAGATGAAGTAGAATGACGTATTAATGAAGTATGAAAGAGGTACACAAGCCTTTTTCCAGCTTAAAACTCATGAAATGTTAATTTTAAAATTTGACGACTAGTAAAGCTTTCAAATTATATTTTCAGAACATATTTTATAATTTTTTTAATGAATGTGAATATTTCATGTACGGCCTTTTTAAAGTAAAGTTTACTCACTCCTTTCCTTTTTAACGTTGTTTTCTCAGGTGTGCCAATTTGGAATGCGACGGAATATGAAATACGTGAAGTGCAGTCATGAATATAAAATAAGGAAACTCATGAATCAGCGACAAAAAAAAATGCGCCATTCTTCTCCGAGGTTTTTGCATGAACGCACATAGTTACGTGCACACTGTCGTATTATTTTAAACAATGTTAGTATTAATGTAATATTATTGGTAATTCCTATTTTGAATAACAGTTTTAATCATAGTTGGTTGTAATAACATGTGTATGAGTTATTAATTGTGTGAGGACAAATTTAGATCAAAATTCAATTGCTTCAAATATTCAGGCGTCCTCGTTGGCAGATAATTGACATATCATATGAAGCGGTCGACAGCAAATGATTACCGATCAACGGAGATAAACCATTCAAGCATTTATTAATGCTACCTTCAAATCGTACGAGTACATTGACAGTGAGGAGATCATGAGAGTTAGTGATCACAAATTAAACCTATGGCTCGAATTATAACAGTAAGCCTTCTTCTTTTGCATGACACGTTTGTATTCAGATCGGAGCGTATTTCTAGGTGCAAGGTAATTGTTTTTATTTTTTTCTTTATAAGAAGTCTTATCTCTGATAGGAAGTAATATACCTACTTATACCGCCATCATTTTCTTAGCGTTGAACTACATAAAGGTCTCATTATTTTGATCCATTTTTATTCTTACCAGTTAACATTGTATAACATTATTAGTAATAACTGAACCACAGAAGTTCCTGATAAAACCTTCGGAGGTTTTAGAAGCACAACAGCTGTATTTATTAGCAACCAATTCCTCTAGAGAGAAATTCTACTAGTAATGTTTGAAAATTAAAATTTGTTAATAAATCAAGCTTTATACATCAATGTTCTCTATACGCACAAAAGGCTAAAAATGAGTCGTTTTGAGAAAGTATTGTTTAGGTATTTTTAGGAAATGACATCATTTGTATCGACATTATGCAAAAACGTCTAATTTAATTTACCAAGTGTGCATTAAATTATTTACGGAGCAAATACTGACAAATACGTTGCATGAAGAAAAACCTCTAGTTTCAATAAGAAAGGTATAAGATAGTTAAAAGATCATTTGAATTTTGCAATTATTTAGATCCAGAGATTGTAATGAAAATAGGATATTTACCAAATGTAAAGCTCAAATGTAAAGTTTCTCTGTACTAGACAATTAAAAAAAAATATATTGAAAGCTGTTTTGTAGAACATTTTGAAAATGTTAACAAGAATTCAAATAACGAACCCTCAAAAATGAGAGAATCTGTTTCAAATGTGCAGGACGTCAGGTTAAAGCAGAGTAATCGTACAATATCTATTTAAAAAAATTCTAAGTGCGATTTACCCGTGTTGCTGGTGCGAATAAAGTTATCATTACATAATTATTTACTATTATATATTTGAAGCCAATGAAAATAATATCTTTAAATATCATTGGACCATTGACAGATTATTCCCTTTAAGGCAAAGAAAATTCTCTTAAATTGTGGAATATTTACAAAAGTTACGGATGTGGAAAAATAAAATATACACAGTACGAATTGTACAACCTCCTCCTTTTGAAGTTTGTTAAAAAGACGTATGGCACGACGAAATGTGTTAATGGTTGTAAAGTGGAAAAATGATGTGAATTTGAATATTCTCGTTCATTTACAAAAAATATTTTACAGACTCATTCAACGTAAGTCCTAACTAAAGCAAGTAACACGTATAATTCACAGGACAAGTTCGAAACAATGTGTGGAGTCTTCTCCAATTACTTCATTCTTTGATGTTGTTGGTGTTGTCTCTTCTTTTAAGTATTATACAGCTTGCTGAACATCTTTTTAGAAATCCATATCCTTTGGGTTAATTTGATATTTCCCATTTAACTAATGATATCACATGAACGATCACTAAAATATTCTTTTTGTGTTTGATACCAATTAAGCATGCAGCGTCATTTCGTAATTCTGATGCGGAAGGTGGAATTATATTATTGCTGAGCCACATCTCGCTCACCGATCAGCGTTTGCTCACTCCTCACGTCGTGTATTACGAATGGTGACTAGCAGCAGGCATGCGCTGAGGTAGATGGCGTGGGCGGTCAGCTGGGCTGTGGGTGGAAAGGATATTCGTGAAGAGCATAACACATTGATATACTACTAATTTCCAATGCGCACAGAAATTAAAAATAAAACAACTATGTAGCCTCTGATCGTGTGAATTGCATCAATTGTTTTGTTAGATAGTCAGGAACACGGGGGAATCAAAAAACCTCGAAATAGTTTCGTTATTGACTGGAAAATGCAAATATTTGATTGTGCTATTCTCATGCTGCGAGTACCACTGAATTCTATACTTAGTGCGTCACTACTTACACAGTTGTCTTCATGCACCTTCATCCGAGGAAGTGGCCGACCGCCTTAAGGTTTTTTGTTTTTCACATTTTGTGTACTAATAGAACAGCACCTTTTTGATATTCTAAATATGTGAAGCACTGTAGTTCTGTATATATAATTGCAAAATTACATTTTATTATATATTATTGCCATACTACATTTTTGCAGTATTCGTGAGGATTGTTTTTGTTAAAATATATAATTTAATGCAGTGATATACAAGAGTAGTATTTTATTTGTTGTTCTTGAACAGTGACGTTGTACCATTTAGAAAACTATTTTGCATCCTGTTTCCGAAATCCTGTTCATGAGCATTTTCGCTGTTGTAGGCCACACAATTGCTGCTATTACAAAAATCAGGATTTCACCCCAGACAAAATAACTAAAACGTGTAGCCAACGCGCACACTAAAACGCAATAATAAACCCAATAAAGGGGTCAAATTTCCATTTCTTTCTT